ACACGGACACAGGGAGAACATGCAAACTCCACACAGAAACACCAACTGAGCCGAGGCTCAAACCAGCGACCTTCTTGTTGTCTTGCTACCTAATGCGCCACCGCATCGCCCATTTATTTATATATGGTTTATCATTAAGCAGACAGCAGCATGCACATGACACATCAGGATAACAGCACAATCTGCCGATTATAAGCATCCAAAATAATAACTGAGTATGATGATGAAACAGACCATCACTGCGTTTTACGGCGCAATAAATGAAACCTGTTGTGTTGTACTGAACAGCCATTTTGTTCTCCACAAAGAGCTTGATGTGAATGGCATTATAATAAAACTGAAGCACTATTCACAACTTCAAACACTCGCTTTCTGACATAACAAGCGCCAGTCAGGCCAATAAAGAACCTTAATATTTAAATGCACAGTTCACACACACACACACGCGCGCACACACACACACACACACACACACACACACACACACACACACACACACACACACACACACACACACACAGCCTCTCCTCCATTGTGCGCGCAGCTGTCTGTCAGTAGTCCGGGATCCGGCTCCTCCTCCGGGTTTTGGCTCCTCCTCCTGCTCCTCGGACCGGCGGCGGCGGCTCCAGTGCTCCTCATCCGCCAGTCGGTGCAGCAGAAGCGGGTCCGTCAGCATGGAGCTCCGGGCTGCATAACGCACACATCCAGGACACACCGCGCTCTCCTACGCACAGATCTGCGGGATTGATTGACTGACTCCCTGCCTGATTGATTGATTAGCAGCGGATTTCGCGCTCGTGTCGCTCCACCATGGGCTGCGTCACTGGAGATATTCGCCGACTTTCCGCGCTCCTCATCGGGCTGCAGGTCCTCTACACACACGGTCAGTGCTGCTCACGTTCATGCTGGATTTACACACTTTCCGGAGCCTCGACAAGTTTAAATCCTCCTCAGGGTGTGTGCGAGTGTGTGTGTGTGTGTGTGTGTGTTAGTGATTCTCATTCAGCATCATGTTGCATTTCCTAAAGTTTAATTGAAGCAGCGCATGACGTCAGATGAGTGTCTGCGACTGTCAGCAGGTGCTTCTGATGCGGTTATTGATCCGTGACGCGCGTCCTGATCAGTGCGTTATTGCACATGCTGTGCATATGTGTGTATTGTGCATGATGCATCGCGCTGATGTATGTGTGCGTGTGTTTTGAGGATGTGCAGTGTGTTGATTATTATTATTATAATGGTGGTGGTTGTGGTGATGATGATGAGCAGAGGATGCGGAGCTGCTGCTGCTGCTGCTGCTGTATTTACTGATGGCGCCAGTAGAGGAGCAGTGTTTCACCGCGGTGCTGCACACACACACGCGCACACACGCACGCACACATCTGCTCCAGCATTTATTCATTCATGCAACAGTTTACAAACACACTGGTTTATTCCTATAACTAACAGCACACCTGATGACTCGGAGAGCTCTGTTTATGTATTAATGCTGGAAAAGCGTGCAGTAATAAGCGTTCAGCACTCTTAAAGAAACACGCTGCCACCAAACGCCTTTCCAACGTCTCGATTCTGGTCCAAATATCTAGAATTTCCTAAATCCTTTTCTAGACGAGCAAACATTATTGTGTTGTTTTCAGAAATAATCCAAATGAAGTAGGAAAACTAGATTATTTTGCTTAGCCCATTTGCATGTTGGTTGCATTAAGGAAAAAACATTTAATTTCGACTCCTTATTAATGAAAACAACACAATATTTCTGTGTGTCTAGAAAATGCTTCTTGATTTAAGAGTTTGTAGATATTCGGACTAGACACAAGACAGAAACACAGTAAGAAAAGCATTATTTGCAGTGGACACACACACACACACACAATTAACATGTATTCATTCAGTACTAGCACTCAGGTGGTGGTAAACTTTAATGCATTTCTTTTTCTCTCTCTCTCTCTGTGTAACACAAAAGAAGATATTTAGAAGAATGTTCAGCCATTAGTATAGTGGCATCCTCCATGATATCTTCCTTTGTGTTCAGCAGAAGAAAGAAACTCAAGATAGGCTGGAACGAGAGTACATGAGGACGGAATCTTAATTTATTGTGTGTGTGTGTGTGTGTGTGCGTGTGTGTGTGTGTGTGTGTGTGTGTGTGTGTGTGTGTGTGTGTGTGTGTGTGTGTGTGCGCGCGCGTGTGTGTGTGTGTGAACTGTGCATTTAAATATTAAGGTTCTTTATTGGCCTGACTGGCGCTTGTTATGTCAGAAAGCGAGTGTTTGAAGTTGTGAATAGTGCTTCAGTTTTATTATAATGCCATTCACATCAAGCTCTTTGTGGAGAACAAAATGGCTGTTCAGTACAACACAACAGGTTTCATTTATTGCGCCGTAAAACGCAGTGATGGTCTGTTTCATCATCATACTCAGTTATTATTTTGGATGCTTATAATCGGCAGATTGTGCTGTTATCCTGATGTGTCATGTGCATGCTGCTGTCTGCTTAATGATAAACCATATATAAATAAATGGGCGATGCGGTGGCGCATTAGGTAGCAAGACAACAAGAAGGTCGCTGGTTTGAGCCTCGGCTCAGTTGGTGTTTCTGTGTGGAGTTTGCATGTTCTCCCTGTGTCCGTGTGGGTTTTCTCCGGGTGCTCCGGTTTCTCCAAACACATGTGGTATATAGGGGAATTGGGTTGGCTGTAGTGTACGTGTGTGAATGAGTGTGTATGGATGTTCCTCAGAGATGGGTTGCAGCTGGACGGGCATCCTCTGCGTAAAATACATGCTTGATAAGTTGGCGGTTCATTCCGCTGTGGCGACCCCTGATAAATAAAGGGACTAAGATGAAAATGAATGAATGATTGTGATTAACACAGATATAGTCTTGTTTCTGCTGCAAATATCTGAATATTCTGACATGAAGCATTTCATAGACTCAAATGCCCCAGACTCATACCTGACAAGCAGGTTGTAAAACAGGTTTACTGTGTTCACCCATCGGCAGATTATTGTGTTGCTTTAAGGAAAACCTCCTCATGTTGACGTGTGAGATCATCACTGTGGGGCTCTTGTCCAGTAAACGCTTCCTGATTGATCCAGACATATGCGCTAGAAACAAGAGAAACTCTTTAATAAGTAAATCATGCATTTTCACTGTGTAAACCTCTGTTATACTCTTCAAGTAAGCTGTGTTATAATAATAACTCTCCCCAAAATAAGCCTTCTTCTTAGAGAGCTGCAGAAATAAGTGCATGGAGAATAATTCACTCTTAATTCGCTTAGAACAGGAGGAACAGGAGGGTTTTTCCCTGAACGAGTGTGTTCATCAGGGCTGTACAGTAGAGCTTTACCATGTGTGTTTTATCAGATGCACACTACAGCTTCACATTTGCTTATTTGTTAGAATAATAATAATTCCTGACATGTATACAGAGCTTTACATGTGTTTGGGGGAATCTCCTCATCCAGCACCAGTGTGCAGCATCCGCCACGCCGCACACCAGCTGACTGGTGGAGAGTGATGAAGACACTTATGATACGGGGATGGTCAGGAGGCCGTGATGAGCAGAGACCAAAGGGCAAATTTGAACAGGATGCCGAGGTTAATCCGGGATTATTACCAGGATTATTAGTGACCAAAGAGAGTCAGGAGCTCGGTTTAACGTGTCATCTGAAAGACAGCGCTCACTGACAGTATAGAGTCCCCATCAATATACTGGGGCATTAGAACCCACACAGACCCCCTGCAGGTCTGTCTAACACCACTGCAGGAATGAGGAGGTGTGCTGAAGGTGCAGCTGTGGTGCAGTGAGGGGTTTGTGTCTTTAATAATCTAACACTGTAGAAAATATTCCCCCCATGACTTGGTTTCTTCCAGTCACCCCTGCCATCTCATGAGAAATGGACTATGTCAAAATCCCAATAGTATCTGGATGCAGCCATTATGATGCAAGCTGATATTGACTCCCTCAGCAATGCAATGTCAGACACAATGCACTCAATGGAGTGAGTGACATCACTGTGACAGGTAGGGTTAGGGGCGGGGTTAGGTGAGCGTATTAAAAAGCATTGGATGCAGCTCAGATTGCACTGCACCAGGTCTGCATCCAGACCCCTCTCCAAAATCCACCACGGAGGGAAGTGAAAGTGTAGCGGGAGGAATGATTGCTAGAATGTAGCTCAGTGGTGGTTGTAGAGAGTTGTAAACCAGGTATTATAGAGTGTGCATATATGTGTGCGTGCATATATGTGTGTGTGCATCGCTAAGTACGTACCCGAAATATTGCAATATGTATCTATATGGAGTTTCACACTGGTCTGGGCACAGTTCAGATAGCCTAGTGTGAATACGCCCACAAGCTTGGTTACTTTAAAGAAGACAGAAGTCAGATTGTAGAGTAAAGGTCATTAGGTTTAATAAAACAAAAGTTATGCACCTTTAATGTTGATGAAAATAATACAGCAGTACATTTACATTTAATGAAATGACAGAAAGCTCAATATCTGAACAACTTATACTCCAAATTTGAAGTTGAGCTCTGAAAGCATGAGTGTGCAGTAGTGTTTAGTTTGTCTGCAGTACCAGACATGACCACCGGGTGACCATACTGTTTACATTGATGACCATATAAGGGCGCTCTCTATGTTTTCAGGAATATGGCCTGTATTTATTTTCTATAATATATCCAATTATAGACATCGAACACTAAAGTAGTATGGACAGTTTGGTGATATTGAGCACATCTAAAACATTTGAACATGTGGATTGCTGTAGCAAAGTAATGCTTTAGTACTCTCATGAGCATCCTTAACACTATATTTGCTCATTAATAATCACCAGATATGGAAACTAGACATTTTAGGCTTTCAGATGTTTAGAGTTTGTCATGATTGCTATATGTTTAGACTGCATTATTTTGGTTTATAAATGCAATCACACCGGTTGAAGAGTGACAGTACATGTGTTTTAATCTGTTGCTCTTCCTACATAACAAAAGACTGTGGTCGAATCTGTATTCAGAAGACTTTTACAACCATATATGGTTCATTATGATTCGATTAGGATTTCATTGCCAAACAGTGGGGTTAAAGAACCATTAATGCCCTTAAACTAGAAGATGACTGTGTGATGAAGGATTGTGACTGAAGCAGCAGACTTTTACCGCTGTATTGGTGTCATGATGATAAACACCGGCTGTGCTGCATTTATTTGATTTCTAATTGATTTGCACTCATTGAGAGCTTTAAATGAGATGAATCATTATCTCACGTCAGTAATCAGCATGTGTGTGTGTGTGTGTGTGTGTGTGTGTGTGTGTGTGAACATTGAGAGAAATATATGAGTGTGTTTCTGCATTCTGCTCTTCAGCTTGTGTTTGTTTTAATCTGTGTGTGTGTGTGTGTGTGCGCGCGCGCGCGCGTGCGTGTGTGTGTGTAAGTGCACGTGTATGAGTATGTGTGTGTGCACATATGTGGTTGTGTGTGTGTGTGTTTGTGTAAATGCATGTGCATGTAGTTCTGTGTTTGTGTGTGTGAATTTCACAATCAGATTTACTTCATATTCAATTCAGATTTAGTTCAGAATCAGATTCAGTTCAAATTTATGTCAGAATCAGATTCAGCTGTTCAGTTCAGAACTGTTGCAGAATCATCTATATAAGACAGATCTGATCTCAATGGGAAACTTTTTATTAGATCAGATTCAGTTCAGATTTATGTCAGAATCAGATTTAGTTCAGAATCAGATTCAGTTCAGAATCATGTCAGAATCAGATTCAGTTCAGATTTAAGAAAGAATCAGATTCAGTTCAGATTCATGTCAGAATCAGATTCAGTTCAGATTTATGTCAGAATCAGATTCAGTTCAGATTTATGTCAGAATCAGATTCAGTTC